CGTGCCGGGCGTTTCGCCTGAGACTTCCTTACCACTTGTGATTCTGAAACTTAAATGTAGCAACCGTTTCACAGATGGAGGGCGGGTGGTTTCAAAATGTAGCTCTCGCCTAAGCGCCGCGCACATTCGCTCAGGCATGTTTACAACAGCTTCACGGATTAACAACGGGAGGTTTTCAAACTGTGGTTCTCGCCTTAGCGCCGCGCACATACATTCCTTGAACAAATGCAAAAGGCTTCACGGATTGAGGGTGGGTGATTTTCAAAATGTCGCTCTCGCCTTAGCACCGCGCACATTCGTTCTAACGATCTGCAAGTGTTTCGCGGACTAAAGGCGGGTTCAAAAAATGGCTCTCGCCTTAGCGCCGCACACATTCATTCCTTGATCAAATGCAGAGGCTAAACGGATTGAGGGCGGGCGATTTTCAAAAGTGGCTCTCGCCTTAGCGCCGCGCACATTCGTTCTAAAGATTTGCACGTGTTTCGCGGATTAAAGGCGGGAGGTTTTCAAAAAGTGGTTCTCGCCTTAGCGCCGCGCACATTCTTTCTAAATATTTGTAAGAGTTTCACGGGTCGAGGGCGGGTGGATGTCAAAAGGTTTCAAAATATGGTTCTCGCCTTAGTGCCGCGCACATTCGTCATTAAACACTGCAAGAGCTTCACGGATCGAGGGCGGGTCGTTTTCAAATTGTGGCTCTCGCCGTAGCGCCGCGCACATTCGTTTAAACATTTGAGGGTTCAAAGGGTTGCCATGATCAGCGTACCAGACACGGTGTGTTGGAAGGATTTCGGATTATGCGAGTGTAACAACTATATTGCTTCGCGGTGTTGAAGTCCCCCAAATGGCGTTCTGGCACGATTCAGGATCGTCAAGACGCAGCAGTCAGATTGATCCGAGGCGTTGAAGTCCTGAGAAGAATGCTTTGGCATGCTTCAGGGTCTTCAAACGGCTGTCTTCCAACGAGGCAGTTCCCTCGATGGAAATGAACCGTTGTAGGGGCCTGTGGAGAGGGAGCTTGGAGGGAGGACTTTCTCCAACATCGTTGATGACTGTTGGGCTTACACTCCTCCTCCTCCTCCTCCTCCTTCTCCTCCTCCTCCTCCTCCTCCTCCTCCCCCCTTTCTGCGCGTGCCTGTCATCATTCCCGTACCCATGTCGGTCGTCCCGGAAGGAAGCTCCACGGGCCGTCGGAGAGCTGGCCGGCGCGCTTCGGGGGAGACGTGGGCGGCGCGCCGACACCCCTCGGCCCACCCCTCCCCGCCCCCAGGACCTTTCGGCTCGCCCAGGAGACAGGGTGGCTCGCGAAAAGGCACCTCTGGGCGCGGAAACGAGAGTAGTGGGATAGGGGAAGGCTTCTTAGCAGGATGCTGCTACTTAGAAGTCGCTGGCTCTACATCTACAGATAGGGCCCGCGCCTTCTGAAAAGCAGGGGTGCTTCAAAGAAGCCCTTCCCCCTCCCCCTACCCCATTCTGTGCGTGGCTGAAAAAATAAAACTAATACGAATACGGATGCAAAAAATTAAACATTGCGGATCCGACTTGTCACACTACCATGTAACATACTGCTCATAAAATGATAGCAAGAGGATTAATAGTGCTAGCCGTAATAGCACGACTAACACAAATAACAACAACACTACGAATACTGCTGATAATAATGATATCCAGAAGAATGCTGACACTGAGAAGAAGAAGAAGAAGAAGAAGAAGGGGAAACATGATACCACTGTTCTCAGCATTCTAGTCCATAGCAATGATAATTCGCAGAACGAACAGTTGCAACCATAATATAATTACACGAAGAAAGAATAAGACGAACTATACGAAGACGACCGCTATACTCGTGATCACGATGCTAATAATATGAACAACAAAAAGGTTATTACAACGACTAACAATATGAGATGGTACTACTTACACGCACAGTGCGGATATTACTACTGCTACTCGAAACCAAGATACTAACCATAATAACAATATTTATGCTACTAACGATATTAATACACATGGTTGAAATATTAATAATTCGACCAGTACGGATCAACAAAGAACAATGAACATACGAGCACTCAAATAATAATAATAATACTACTAATGATAATAAGAATAATAACACTTAGACACATGATACGAATAATCACATACATACGAATACTAATAATACAAGTTAATGAGAAGAAGACAAGTCGTTACCAGACATACATACGAACTTTTGGAGGTCCACGCGGATTTCTCGGGTCGGCGCTGGGCCCCCCTCCCTGGCGCGAGGATCGCGCCAGGGGCGCCGCCAGGGGGCATCCAGCGCCCATCCAAAAAAATCGCGGGGACCTCCGAACAGTTGTGTTCATGTCATTGTTTGTTCCTCGAAGAATGGGCGTGGCAGGCCTGGTCGGACCTCCTGGCCTAGGCTGCCCGCCTCTGTTTTCTTCCTCTGTCCTCCGGTCGAGGCTTCAGGCGCACAGGTGGCGGAGGTGCTCGGTGGCGCCACCCTGTCCCGCATCAGAGTTGACAACAGCACCTAGCCATTCTCCATCGTTGCGCGCGCGCACCCCTACCTCGCCCAGCCGCACACGTTGTAACTCACGCGTCGGTCGGCGCGCCATTGCTCCAGCGCGGCAGCGAGAAAAGGCTCGCAGCGCCTCTCTCCGCTCACGCACGCGCTCTGGCGTATCATCGGGGCCCCAAGACCGTGTGGTGACGGACCGCGCGGGGAACCCCAGCATCCGCACCGGCCTCGCCGCGCGATCCGTCGCCGCACGGTCTTGGGACCCCATGGAGGCCCGCCGCCCGAGACGCCCTCGGAGAACGACCGACTGCCAAAAAACAGCGCGCCACGCGGCGTGGCCCCCACGCCGCGTGGGGCCCCCGAGCACGGCTTGGCCGACGGCACGGCTGGACCCTACGAGGGTCCGGGGGAAGGAGGAGCAGGAGGAGGGGGAGGAGGAGGAGCAATCTCATCAGCATCATGTTGAAGCCCATTGCGCGGGCATGGGGCGGAGGAGGAGGAGGGGGAGGAGGAGGAGGAGGAGGAGGAGGAGGAGGAGGAGGAGGAGGAGGAGGAGGGGAGGAGGAGGAGGAGGAGGAGGAGGAGGAGGAGGAGAGGAGGAGGAGGACCCCGCCCTCCGCGCTCCGCGGGCGCCCGCTGCGAGGGCGCACCTCCGCGCGCACCTGCTCGGGCCCAGCTGGGCCCCCCCCGGGCCGGCCCGGGCACCGCAGCGTCTGCGGCGCCGGGCGTTCTCGCCCAGGTCTCGGGCCGCGGGGCCGCCACGGATTCGTCCGCCTCGAGACATGCCGTCGAGAGATCCTCCGCCTCCTCCTCCTCCTCCTCCTCCTCCTCCTCCTCCTCCTCCTCCTCCTCCTCCTCCTCCTGGGGTCCAGGGCTCTGGTCGTGGTTTCTCACGGTGCCGCCATCTCGAGGGTCTCGGGGCGCTTCGCCGGGGGGCCCGAGGGCCATGGCGGAGGCCAGGCCGAAGAGCCCTCCAGCCTCCAGCCCCTCCCGGACGCCTTCCGAGGGGGAAGGCCTCTCTCTGGATCCTTGGGAGAGCGCCTCCTGTCCCCGAGACGGATGTTTCTGGGAACAGCAGCTCGTTGCATCTCGTCGGTCGGCGTGAAGGTCTTGAATTCTGAGCCATCGCGCCCACATGGAGGCTCTCGAAAATGAGGCCAACACCTGCGCAACACGACGCCAAGCGCGTGAATCAAGCGAACTTGCGGTCTGAAGAAACCACCCGGCACTGCGCCGAATGACAACTGAGGATAAAAGCCCGCCGCCTGCATGAAACCCTGAACGCGTCATGCAGAGACGTCTCGGCATGGCGCTAGGTCATCTGATCCAATCCCGTGTGAGATCAAGGATCTGGGAGGGCACAGACAACGGGGCGGAGCGAGGGGGCGAGGCTTCTGAGAAGGCAGGGGGCTGCTAAACATCCCTGCTGAACATGCCTGCTGAAACAAGGGGGTTCGGGCAACACCCCACTAAACATGCCTGCTGAAACATTCGTGAGAGTTGGGGGTATAAGCTGTCCCTCCTCCTCCTCCTCCTCCTCCTCCTCCTCCTCCTCCTCCTCCTCTTGGTCTGCGAAGTGTTCAGATATAGGTGTCAGAAGAAAAACTATCACACGCAAGGGTGCCCCCCCTGCCCCCCTGTGGTACCCTTCTGGTGCGATGTCTTTTGCCCAATCCTACGTTTGAGAAGATGCTCCAAGGGGGGCATGAAACCATGCGTGATCCGCCCGGCTATGAGCAAGAGTGACCCTAGGCAAGAGTGACCCTTGGTGCGCGCCTTTTGTGGGGCGCGAGTGGGCCAAACCCAAGCGCGCAGGCCGCTGATATCGCATCGCATTCAACGATCGGGGAGCCCCAGTGGGCCCGCACCAAAGGTCAATCCAGCGAAGGGTCACTCTCACACGTGGTCGAGCGTGATCACCACCGCCTTGGCTCTAGGCGCTGGCACCCGGCATACCAGTACCATGCTGTTGCTCAACCTAAGATGCGCGGGAAAAATTGAGCCCGCCTTGCCCCTGGCGAGATCTGTCCTTATCATGCCGCCAATCCTGAGATCCGACGTCGCGGAAAAATTGCGACATCGCGAACAATCAGGACTGGTGCCCTACACCCCATCTGCGTGCGGCACTTCACCAGCCGCATCGGCCTGCGATGGCCCCTGGGCCCCACACCCGGCGAAAACGACCGTTGTGAACAAAGGCACCGCCTGGGATCTCAAGGAACACGCCCTTCCTAAAGGGGCCCCATAACACACAAACAAATACACACAAATAAAAACAGTCCCGATATTTTCCCATATGTTCTTGGTTTTTGTCTTCCCCCCCACTTCCCACAGTTCCGCATCTTTTCCGGATGGCCGACGATTCATTGTGTCTGTGTGCTTTCTCCCCTCCTGACGTCCTTCTGCCCCTCTCTGCCCTCCCTGCCCTCCCATGCCGGCCCCCGGCGGGCAGGGCGCGCGCGGCGCGGATAGCCCGCAGGCTCCCCGGGCGGTCCTCGTCCGGCACCGGCTCGAGGGCGCTCCGCAGCGCGGCGAGGGCGGCGGCTGCCTCGGCACCCTCGGCATCCTCGGCCTCGTCCTCGGCGCTTGGGGGGGCGGGAGACAAGGAGCCTGATCTGTCAAGAACCTGGGTAGTCGAGGCCAATCTGGCGCCAATTTGGCAGGCCCAATCTGGCAAACGGGGGCAATCTGGCGAGGGAGCCAACGCGAATCCAGTCTGGCGAACAACCCAAATCATCCAGTTTGGCCAGGCCAGATTGGCCCTTGGGGCCCAATCCAATCTGACAGTCTGGCCTTCGACTACCCAGAGAACGCTGACCGCCGATCTTATCCATTTGGGCCATTGGGCTCGCAGAGGGGAACGTCAGAAGAGGAGGGCGATGCCGACGGCGACAAGGCGGCGGACAACGAGAGGAGGACGCGCACAGGGACGCATGGCTCACACCGCACAGCTTGCACGGCTCAGCTCACACCGCACAACTCGCGCCGCATGAGCTCACTCCGAAGGGCTCACGCTGCATAGCTCACAGCCCCACAGTCGCTGTCTGAGAGTCACGCTGGCTGCGATGTTTTAAGGGGGCCCATGCCCGCGTGCTCCGGGCGCCCCGATGTGCTCCAGGGGCGGCGCGCAGGCAGGGACGCCCAAAATCGAATCGATGGGTCGGATCGGCGATCGTCATGGATCGAATCAGCGGAAATCGGCAGCCAACGTCCGGAGGTGTCGACTCGGCGGACATCGGCGGGCCAATGAGGCCTCTATGGAGAAACAGGAACCCAGATCGGAATCTCAAGTCGAGTCGCAATCGGAATCGGAAGCTATCGAAGGAGGAGGAGGAGGACAAGCCATCGAATCGGGTCGGAGGAGTCGACATGCGCCCTGCCAGGGGGGAGCGGCGCGCAGGACTGCCCCAGAGGCCTCCAGGGCGCCAGCTCGGGACAGGCGCCTCCGACGTGGGAGCATAGGTGCCCTCTGGAGGGCCCGTCCAAGTGGCCCTCTCTTTGGGGAGACGTAAGACTCGTGTTCGGGGGACGGAACATCACACGCTTCCTATGACCATTCGTTGTCATACAAAGGCTGGTCTTAAAAAACGTGTGGTGTTCCATCTCAGCGATTTCTGATGACAACCGAAGGTCATAACAACGAACGTATACTGTTCTATCTTGTTGGGGAGACGTCGAACTCGGGTTCGGGGGGCTCGGGTGGGTCTGACGGGGCCGTCAAGAGAGTGACGAGACCCGATCTGAAATTCCGCGCGAACTCCCGCTGCAAACATCCCACGAACACCGGACCGTCAGAAATCAGGACGGGCCCGCCAAGAAGCCCAGGCAAACTCGATCTCGGGTGAGCTCGAGCCTTCACGCTTTCATCCTGGGCGCCTCTCCTGGGTCGCCCGGGGAGGCCCTTGGGGCCAGCCCCTCCCGAACTCTCCCCGAGAGGGCCCACGAGACGGGCCCCCCGGGAGGGCCCCGAGAAGTCCCGCTTGCGACAAGCTGTTCTCGGACGGGTGCTCATAGGGGGTGACCTGACGGGGGTGAAGAAAAAGGCCTAAAGGGACCTTTCGGGCTCCTTTTGGGCACCAACTGGCTCCAAACGGGGCCCTTTAGGGCCCTCTTCTTCAAGCCCTTTTGGGCCACCCCCCATTACCACCCGCTCGATGTTCACAAGCGAAGGGTTGGGCCGGGCAAAGGATCAGGCCGAGAGTCTGACGCAGCTCGAGAAATGCGCCCCTGGGCGCCCTAGGCTCAGAGAAAACGGCGGCCGCCCAGAGACCTGCTGTGCGAAACCAGGCACTGCCGGGGCAGGCGCGGCCGTCACGGCGAGCACCCTCGAGCTTAGATGCCCCGATACGCAACACGCAACACGTGGCGTATTGCTACGGAGCTCAACACGTGGGCTGAATACGCGGGCCCGACGCGATACGTTCGCCAGAGCGTGGGCCAATACGTGGAGTCAACGCGCAACGCATGGACACGGACGTCTGGAGCACGTGACGTATCGACACGCTGCGCCTCCATACGGGCGTATCGAGACAGCTAAGCCCTCGAGGACTTCGGGCATCCGTCGAGGGCACAGCTGCTCTGCAGGTTTGCGACTCTGCCCTCGGTGGGCGCAGAGGCCGTGGCAGAGGAGCAGAGGACCGCACACCGCGTCGGCCCCCCAGAGGTCTCGACCCCTTCCCCGGGGCCGGCTTCTCATCCCGAGTCACTTTTTGACCGCCCTGGGGCCTTGATGGGCCTGTTTTGGAGGGGGCGGAGGCCCTCATGCTCCTCCTCCTCCTCCTCCTCCTCCTCCTCCTTCTCCTCCTCCTCCTCCTCCTCCTTCTCGTCCTTCTCCTGCTCCTCGTCCTCCAAATCCTTCCCCCCAGGTGGTGGTGGTGGTGGTGGTGGAAAACAAACCCATCAGGCCTGGCAGCGGCCACCAGAGGCCGATATTGATGAAACACCTCCCGTCGTGATTTTTTGGTCGCAGCGCGAGGGGGCCTGGGTCGGCCTCC